CAAAACGATCAGCTTTAAAAAAGGACTCGTAACTGGAAAAACCGAATGAAAAAGGAATGTTAACAACAAATACTTTTTCACACCCAACCCAGTTCTGCGGAATCAGAATCAACGTTGAGTTTAAGCAAGTGAATGAGCTAATTGGAGCAAAGAGCCATGCAGATTAAAATTTTTCCCACTTGTGATAAATGCAGCTATCGATTTTTTTTTGCATGCTAGCATACAAGTTAACATTTGTGTCAGTCAGCTGTTGGCTCACACACTGACCAATAGAATCTTCCTGCCTATTCGTGACAGCCAGCTATAGGCTCTCACTCAAGCCAGTACAAAATGGACGCACACTACATGAAAACTGCCGTAGAAGCATGAAAAATCGATTATTTCCACTATCGATGGGAGTTGGGAAATGCAAGTCGGTCTTGGTCTTCCCGATAACTTGGAGCATGTGCATGTAAATTTTGGTGCAAATCCGTCGAAAATTGCATGTGCATTCGTTACACACACACACACACACACACACACACACACACACACATACACACATCCTGCCTTCTATATATATATATATATATATATATATATATATATAGGTTTTAAGGTATTATTCTATATTTATGGGTTTAAGTGCTCAATATCAGAGGTGGTTTTATCATAAGCTATGAAATGTTATAGGCTATGGTAAGTTTTTAACCACCCTTGATTACATCAATTTTGGCTTGTTTAATAACGTCTCTTTTTTTTTTCAGACAATAACGTGTTAGTATCAAACTACTCTCATCTGTGAACGATAGTTGACTTATATCTTGCAATGAAAGTTCGTGAAAGTAAGGAAATTAGTGAATTTGAACAAGGGCAAATAATAGGATGGCATCAGTGTGGCAAGTCAAATAGAGAAATTGCTTGGTTTTTCCAGATTAATCATCAAATGGTTAATAATATTGTCAAGAAATTTAAAAAAGAAGGCCATTGTCAAGTGGAACAACATTCAGGAAGACCAAGCATCGTGCCTGAGTAAACGAAAAGGTCACTGAAGAGGGAAGTCATCAGAAACCGTCGTCAGAGCGTCAGAGATGTCGCCAACAGCATGCAAATGTCGCTATATCCGGTGAGAATGACTCTGAAAGAGTTAGGCTATCAAAGAAGAGTTGCAAGAAAGAAGCTCTTGATTTTAGAGGTTAACAGGAAACTTCGTATGAATTGGGCGAGAGAATTCGATAGCAAATATTATGAATTTTGGCAGTCTCTAATTTGGTCAGATGAAAGTAAATTCTGCCAATAATCAAATTAGAGATAGGTTTATGTTTGGAGAAATCAAAATGAGACTTGGAACACTGAATATCTGCTGGCGACCGTGAAAAATGGAGGGATTGGAACAATGGGGTTGGGTGCTGTCTGATTTGAAGGTAAATCTGAGCTGATTCCCGTTGACGAGCGATTGAATGGTCCAAAATACTGTCAAATATTAGAGAAAGGAATACTCCAAGTATTTGAAACCAATCAGATTGACAAGAACGTTTACATTTTTCAAGAAGATGGAGCCCGATGTAATATGAGCAAAGTAGCAAAGGCCTGGAAAGAATCGCAAGGAATCAAATCATTGCCACGGGTAGCCCAAAGTCCTGACATGAATCCAATAAAGCACGTTTGGGAGCACTTTGATCGAAGACTTCGAGAGTGTGCAACTAAAATCACGTCAGTGGCAAGGAACATTGTTAAAGGAGTGGTAAAATATGGATCAGACGATTGTTGATCAAATCCATGAAAAACCGAATACAAGCACTGAAATTAGCAAATGGAGGACCTACTCCATATTAGTTCCAAATACTGTTTATTTATGTTGAATAGGGATTTCGTAATTAAATTTTGAAATTGGATGTAAAGGCATTACTTCTCTGGCTAAAAACTTTTCTCAGGACACTTTTATATATATATATATATATATATATATATATATATATATATATATATACACAGGACAAATGTTTTAGCAAATGTTTTAGCATAGGATTAACTTGACAAAAGAGTGAAAAAAATGAAAAACAGTTCTTAGTTGTCCTTAGATGCATTAAAAAAAATGGAATCAATTGTCAAATTTATACTTTGAGAAACTTTTTGCAGCGAATCCCAAAAATTTGTGCTGCAGTAATCAAGGCTAAAGGAGGATATTTTGACGAGAGCAAAATTTAATCATAAAATGCTTTTTTTCTTTTTGTCATAATAAAATTTCCAATAAAATTCATGTCTCATTTGTTTTACCATGTAAAATAATAATTTTCTCTTATTTAAAGTAGAAAATAACTACTTTTGGGGCTAATTTAAAAAATTAACAGGGGTAGCCCCAAACTTTTGAACAGTTGCATATATATATATATATATATATATATATGAGAAACAGCAGATATTTTTATATATAGTGCTTATGCACAACCCCTGAGGACTGGAAATTTTACTTAGAAACTTCGAAGTCGGGATAAAATTATATATATGTGGGGGGTGAGAGAGAGAATAAAGAGAACAGGAAAACATTTCTTTACCAACGTGAGTGGCTTTATCAGAGGATGAAACGCGTCGGTAAAGAAATGTTTTCCTTTTGTCTTCACTCTTATTGTCTTTTTACAGATATATTTTTATTTATATCGGAATTTTTTTCACACAAGCACGCACGCGCGGACACACACACACACACACACACACACACACACACACACACACACACACACACACACACACACACGTGGTTTGGAAAATAATGTCCGATTTTAGAATTAAGTTTTATTCCTGACTCAATGTATTGAAACAGTGTTTGAATCAGTCAAAATAGGATCCCTGAGCCTGAATACATTTCTGTCATCGAGATGCAAGTTTATTTATGCCTTTCCGATAAAACTCTAATGTTTTGGGCGCCAGGAAATCTTTGAATACAGTTCCCACCTCTTCTTTACAGTACAATGTCTTTTTGCTTTCAAATTGTCAAGATGCTTCAAGAAATGGTCGTTAGTGATGAGGAGAACATGGTGGATGTAATAAAGTTTCCCAAGTCGGTGGGTTTCTGCAGTGTCATTCAAGCAACATGTGGTGGAGCATTGTGATTGTTGTGACCAAGTAAATGGTTAAGTAATAACAAAAAACAGGTTTACAGAGATATCGTATATTAAACAGTAAGTATACCAGAAGAGTATTAAATGACTAGTGAGAGTGTATCCAATGAACCAGCGGTCAATATATTCACTGTTCCCCGAAGGCTTCTCTCCAACTAATTTTATAGTAGGCGGAAGAGTCTAACATAGACTCTTAAAAAGGAGGACACCACAACATTGATTAAGCAGTTTTCAACCTTGTGGATTATCCAGTACCAGTCGTAATTTGTTTAAGTAAATGTGCAGTTCATCCAGTTGCTGGCAGTAAATTTCGGCGGTGATGTTCTGGTTAGATTCCAGAAAGCTATAATGGATATCTCTAATGGTGGACCACCAGGTATTCACCATAATCTCCTACTGGTGAAATTTTAATTTTGGTAAATGTTTGGGCCCTTCATTACGATGAAGCTATTGAGCTGGACATTTACAACCGTACTAAGGGACCCATTTCTCACCACAAGACACTATTCAATCAAGAAATGCATCATCCAAATTTCCCCGATTGCAGATTTGAACACACGTCGAACTCTTTGACTTTTACTGAGTTTATGTGGAACACGTTTATCGAGCTTCACCTTTCCAAATTTCTTCATAGGATCTGATATTGATGAAATGTTGACACTCATTATTTGGAACATTTCTCTGACACTTTGACATTGGGTTTTATTCACCTAGCGTTCTCAGATGTTGATGGTCATTTGCAGACAGACGTCCTCTATCACGTTGATCTGTAAGATTCTTATCCACACTGCGGAACTTCAGAAACCAGTTCCGTAATTTTCAATCACAAGTTGATCCTTTGCCCCAAACTCTGTTAATGTTGGCAGCAGTTTGAGTTTAATAATACCTAAACATATGATGAAAATGAATTCATACATTTCTTGTTTGTTTGTTAGAATTCACTGCAAAAATATATATTTATTTATTTGATTGTATATTTAGAAGAATAATTTTATATTTACAACATTCTAAAAATTAGTACAATTAGAACTAATTCAATGCAATATTTATCATTTACCAATTTATAAAGAAATAAATATGAAAACAATTTTTGTTCATAAATTTATAAATATTTACTAAATTATTAAAATATGTGAACCAACTATAAGGAAATCCGTATTATTTACCATTTTATAAAGTTTGAATCAATTTGCAATAAGCTGATGTTTTGCCAACCATTCAAATAAACAATTATAATAATTATAAATAAGGAATTAAATAAAGAAATAGTGTTTATTATTTTTGTTTTTAATTCTCAAGAACAAAGTAAATGTATAAATTCACTTTCATATATTTAGGTTTAATTCTAATCATTGTTTATTAAACCAATAAACATTGCTGATGAGTGAATTTAATTAAAATAATAGCGATGTCAATTGAAAAACCGTCCGTTTTACACTACTATTTTTGCGGATACGAAAGTCCATGTTTTCCACCATTTTTAAAAATTTTATTCCATCTATATGAACGTTACTATGGATACTAAGAAAGCTATAAACGCTCAATGGATATATGATATTGTAAAGTTATTGAAAGATGGCGTCATGACGCTTGAAATTGAAAAACTGTTGAACAAAGATGAAAGAGTATTCATAAAAAGAAACATTGCCAAGATAAGAACAAGAAAAAGAAACTGTTTTTAAAACAGGAAAGGTGGATTGGCCAATAAGAAACTATTTGGTTTCACGAATATAAACAGAGAAAGAAAAGGAGGCCATTATATTGTCATGAAAGCAAACAAACTACGAACATTAAGTAAACATCACAAAGCGAATTAGGTATATGACAACTGATTTGTCAATAGTAATTTTAGTGATAAATATAGACCTATATAGGGTGGATCAGATAGCTGGGCGGCCTTTGGCTATATCCCATTGAAACACTGCTTCCCGTACGATCTCCGAAGTTAAGCAACGTTGAGTTTGGTCAGTACATAGATGGGTGACTACTTGGGCATACTCGATGCTTTAAGCTTTGATGGGCATAACGGGCTTACGGTCATATCATATTGAAACACAGGTTCTCATACGATCACCGAAGTTAAGCAACGTCGAGCCTGATCAGTACCTAGATGTATGACCACTTAGGAATACTAGGTGCCGTAAGATTTGATGTGCGGGTGGTATAACGGGATTACGGTCATATCATATGGAAACACAAGTTCTCATACGATCAGTGAAGTTAAGCAACGTCGAGCCTGGTCAGAACCTAGATAGGTGACCACTTTAGAATTCTATCTGGAGTAAGCGTGGATGTGTGGGTGATGTAATGGATAATGGGTCAGATTTGTTAATCTAAGAGCTGTATCTTAAGTTTGTGCCCACAAATAATAAATCCTGGTAGGACATCTAGTTCTCTCACTATCATCTATTTATGTCGTTTAATTATATCCGCTGAAAAGAGATACCCTTGTCTTACGTCCCTTTCTCTTCTTCTGTATTGCATTTATTTTATACTAGCAGCATGGCCCGGTGTTGCCTGTACTTGGTTCAAAAATCGTACGACTCATACAGCAATCGCTATCATTTGACTTAAAATATTTTTGTCCTTCCATAACTTTAAAGGAGTGCCCTTTGCCGTGCTGAAGTTGCTACATGCCTTACTTCTTGCCTATCTCACACTGCGAATTTTTTCTAAGATCTGTACTAAACATTAAATCTGTTACGAAAAAAGAACTAAACAAAATGAACACAAAACGATAAGCTTTAAAAAAAGACTCGTAACTGGAAAAACCGAATGAAAAAAGAATGTTAACAACAAATACTTTTTCACACCCAACCCAGTTCTGCGGAATCAGAATCAATGTTGAATTTAAGCAAGCGAATGAGCCAATTGTAGTAAAGTGCCATGCAGATTTAAATTTTTCCCACTTGGGACGAATGCAGCTATCGATTTTTTTTGCATGCTAGCATACAAGTTAACATTCGTGTCAGTCAGCTGTTGGCTCTCACGCTGGCCAGTAGAATCTTCCTGCCTATTCGTGGCAGCCAGCTATTGGCTATTACAAATGGCTCAAAATACATGAAAAACTGGAAGTGAAAAATCGATTATTTCCACTATCGATGGAGTTGCAACGTCGGTCTTGGCCTTCCTGATAACTTGGAGCATGCATGTAAATTTTGGTGCAAATCAAGTCGAAAATTGCGGCCGTGTTACACACACACACACACACACACACACACACACACACACACACATCCTGCCTTTTATAGATAGACATCCGTATACCGGCAACTTGTTATTAATAAATGTTCTGATTCTTCGAATATATTTTAGACTTACGGCCACATCATGTTGAAACATCTGTTCCTGTGCGATCACCAAGGTTAAGCAACGTTTAACCTGTTTAGTACCTAAACCTTATTGGTGACCGCTTAGGAAATCCAAATCCTGTAACCTTGGATATGCGGGTGGTATAAAGGGATTACGGCCATATCACGTTGAAAAACCGGCTCCCGTACGAAGCAACGTCGAGCCGTGTGTTTGCCTAGATGGGTGACCGCATGGGTAAACCAGGTGCTTTAATCTTGGATGTGCGGATGGTGTAATGGATAATGATTCGGAATTGTTAATTGTAGAGCCGAGTTCCAATTCCAGTTGAGTTCGTTATATTCACTTACACGCAAATACTTTTGAGAAAATTATGAATCCACCTCTTCTCCCCCAGATATGGGTTAATTAGTAAAACTTGTATCACTAAACCATTAATATTTTCAAAGGAAATCTTACAACTTGAAAATATTTTCCGGCTTTAAGCAATGGGTTGATAAGTCGTAAAAAACAAATCAATCAAATCAGTTGAGCAAGAAATTAGGTTATTCATATAAATAATCAACCAACATAGTTTGGATATAAGAGGCAGGGTAATATTTTGGGATAATATTATTGGCAGTACAATTACCGCTCCCCTCAACGCTAATGATAGTGTTAACATAAATGCATAGAATTGTTGTAAATTAATTTTAAAAATCATTTCATCCCAAGCCAAGCAAAAAAAAAAAAAAAAAAAAAAAAAAACGACTTATGTGCAATTCCTTTGGAAAAGCATGAATCCATTTCTCCCCCAGATATGGATTAATTAGTAAAACTTGTGTCACTAAACCATTATTATATCCAAAACATAATTATGACAATCTAAAAATATTTTCTGGCATTAAATAATCTGGAAAAGTTTGATAAGCCGTAGCAAACGAATCAATCTATAAAATGCTGATTAGATACACAGGCATTTCTTTTATATTTATTTACATTTTCTGGAATATAAATGTATTGTTATGGATAATCAAGAGTGGTCCCCCCTTGTTTTGTTACTCTCTTCTTTGAGAGAGCTATTTCTGTTTACTGGGACTATAAAAGGACACTATAGGCGAACCTTGTATTCTCAGTTGTATAAAGCTTTCTTAAAGCCTACACTCGCGTACTTTTGTCATTACATGTATGGAAGCTACTGTGGTCGCAAAGTGAGGGATCAGTTTATATGTTAATTTTAATATATACTTGATCCCCTAATTTATATCCACATGATAATTTTTTGTTTATTAAATTCTGATTAGGTATGAATCCTTTTCTTCTCCCCCAGCTATGGGTTAATTAGTTAGACGTGTATCATCAAACTATTATCCCCCCCCTTCTCCCCCACAAAAAATTCTTACAATCTAAAAATATTTCCTGGCTTTAAATAACCTGCAAAGGGACGATAAGCGGTAGAAAACGAATGAAATACTGATTAGCTACACAGATATGTCTTTTAGATTTATTTACATTCTCTGAAATATAAATATATCGAAACTAATGTGGCCACAATGTGAGGGATGAGTTTATATATTGATTTTAACATAGAAGTGATCCCCCACTTTATATCATCATGATAATTTCTTTTTTGTATATTATTCTTTTCAACTTTTTCCACAGTTACAAAGTTTTTCTCTATTTATTTGTTTTTGTACAACTGACCTGAAAATCGTTTGTCTTATTTTTTATTTCTGTCGTTGTTTACCTAAAGACATATTCATCAACACTTATCTCCTCTCTTCCATATTTATCAAATGATAGTTTACGTCATAGCACTGTAAATGATTTTATTGTATATTAAATATTGACTTCATAATCTCCGAGTATTTTAGACTTAAATCCTGCTAAAATACATTGTTCTTCCTAACAACGCAATCAGGTGTCGGACACCTTTTGGAGAGAGCGGGCCAGACAGCTATGCAGTGACCCGGTCGAGGGCCATGATATCTATAAGGTGATTCTATAGTCTTGTCACTCCCTACCAAAATGTAATGAGAACAATAGAAGAACAATACAGTAATACAAAGCACATGTACTGGGTTCAGTTTATTCACTTTCATTGACGCTGTCACACATCGTGAAGGTCTGTATGAACACCATCATTTTCGTGGCACAAAATGTCTTGTGTGATATTTTACAAAGCTTTGTTGATTGTAGCAAAGGCTCACCGAACGGCATCTGGTGATATTAAATAGTATGATTTCTACTGTTCATTTTCTACTATGGTATGATATTTACCAACTGCTTGAAGTATGAAATATGTTAGGGTTAGGGGTTAGGGGTTAGGGTTAAAGGCAGTGAACAGTGAACTGCTTATGTATTAAAATTATTAACAATTTTTATACAAAAATAAATAAATAAATAAAAAAGTAATCAAATAGTGATTTTAATGTTTGTAAACTGACTTGATGTCATTTAAAATAACAGTAAACAGGTCATCGTTTTTTTCTGATCTTTTTCCAGCAATAATGTGTGCATCGTCATTTACGGTAAGTTGCAAATGTCTGATAGATATTCTGGTGTCGTTCATGTGAAATTCTCTCCTTGATAATAACCCACAAAGCGTTGAAAAAGATAACTATATTATGTATGGGGGTGACATGACTTTTGGACCACGTACTATAATAAATTATCTTGACCTCAGACCATTCCCTCCAGAAGGCTACCCCACGGTTTGGAGAGACTATTTGCGGCAACGGTTTCTTGACAAGTTAAGCAGACACATTTTCTGAAGTGCTCAATGGAAAATATAGCTAAGTAATCAGTTTTCGTTCAAATTTAGGCACTAAGAATTCACTTCTTAAGTTCCACAAGGTTGTTTTTGTTCGCACTAAAAAGACTTTTGGAAAGGAAAGAAACAAAAAAAAAAAAGGTTAGTGCGAAAGAATAAGAATTAACGGTTTTCCAACAAATTTCAATGAAACCATAAGTCTCGAAAAATTTTCTTATGAAAACTAATTTTAAAGAGGTATCTTTTGGAACAATCGTTGTTGTATTGAAAAATAAATCCTGTTGTATAAGATGGGAGAGCCCATAACATGATAAGGAGATGTTCTTATTTTATCCTCTTTGTCATTATTGTAATTGAAATGTCCAAATGAAAATTTTAATAACATGGGTTGGTTAATATGGTTTATTTTTAATCATTTCATCCCAAGAAACGTCCGATATAATAATTTTGACATTATTTAACAATAAAACAGAAGATCAAATTTAATTGTATGGAAGAGAGTTCCACAAGCGAGAAGTGCGATTTTAGTTTGTTTTTTCCGTATATATTTTTTTTGGGCTATCATGTACTTTCAACACATGACTGATCTATATTCCTGCGATATATTTGAAGATTTTGTTTCAAGAAATAAAAATTATTTTCGGATAATGTCAGTTCATCGATGAAATATAAATGGTCTTATATATTCATATATATATATATATATATATATATATATATATATATATATATATATATAAAGAAAAAATTAAGGTGGAAAATTCCAAAATATTCGGCGTACACGTCTTTGCAGGTTTCAGATAAAACCATCTTCATAATATGTCCAAATGGTTTATTATCAATAAAACGTCCGACGAAATGAATGGATTTTTGCTTGTTTTTTTCCGTATAATTCATACTGTCGAATCCAAATTTGCTTATATATATATATATATATATATATATATATATATATATATATATATATATATATATATATATATATGGTGGATTTTCGTATTCGGCGTATGAGGGTAGGGAAACCGACAACCAGCACATATGATTTGATAATAGTGGTGAAAAACTTGAGCAGAAATCCAACCA